GCGTCAGGAACGACTGGGTTTGCTGGGTCGCTGGCCAGTGGAAGTGCCACGCGAGGGCACGGAGAGGTCGTTGCGTTTGCAGAGATCAGCCTGGAGGCTGGATAGCCCCCAAGGAAAAACATCTTGAGCCCAAACGGCCATGGAGGAGGAGGAGGAGGCGGAGGAGGAGGAGGAGGCGGAGGAGGAGGAGGAGGTGGTGACTGGTATGGCAGCATTCGTTACCGAGCTCCGATCCTTCTGGACGTGGATTCCTCTCGCTTCGCAGGGTGCACGTCCGGAGCAACGGGCAAGTCGTTGTGGGGCCTCCTGGGGTCTTCTTGGGGGCCTCTTGGGGGTCTCTTGGCGGCTTCTTAGGGGCCACTTGGAACCGCATGGGGGCGTCATAGGCCGTCTTTGGGCGCTTTTGCGCCGTCTAACCCCTTCGGAAGACGTCTTTGAGGCCTCTTGGAGCCTCCTCGGAGCTTTCTTGGGGTCCTCTTAGGCCGTCTTGGGGGCCTCTGGGCCGTGTTGGGCCACCTTGGGCCGTCTTGGGGCCTCATTCGACCATGTTGGGTCCATCCTGGGTCGTCTTGGGATTCTCTTGGGGGCCTCTAGGCCGTCTTGGGGTGACCGTCTTGGAGGCTGCCTGGGTCGCCATGGGCCCCGTAGAGTTACAAAAGGCGGAACGTTGTTCCTTCTGGAAAATGGAGCCGTTCAAGAAGGCGAGGGCTGAAAAAGGCGAGAATTCGTTCAAGAACCCATGGGCAATCAGCGTTTTTTTCCTCTGGAGGCTCTCTTGGGGGTCCTCTTGGAGCCCTCCTAGGCCGTCTTGAGGGCTTCTTGGGCCGCCTTGGGGGGCGGTTGGGCCGTGTTGGGCCACTTTGGGCCGTTTTGGAGTTCGATCTTCAAAACGCCCAAGAAGTGAACATCAGTGTCAGTAGTTTCCCTTAGGTTTTTGTGCGCCTTTGACTCCCAGAAGGGGGGGCGCCCTGGGTCGGCGGATGTGGCCTACAGGCGCCGCAGGCAGACCCGCCGCGCGGTACGTTTGCAGCGCATGTGGTGAAAGTGTGGCCACCTGTGCCAGGCCGTGAGAAGTGCTGGAAATGGGCGTAGTTCTGTGCGACCATCCGCTCTTCTTGCGGGGCGATTGCACGAGGCCCGTGCGCTTCCATCAAGTAATTGGTGCGCTTCCTGTCCTCGTCCATGGGTGCGGGCTCTGCATCGGCGTGCGTGGCGACGCCCCCATCAGACGTGAGCTCCGGGTCGCACAACTGGCATGCGATGGGCGCGGCCATGATGGGCTCGACGGAGAACTCCTGCAACATCCCCTGCGATTTCGTCGCCGACCACAGGCGTCGGTTTCCCTTTAGAGACGCGGCGACGTGGCCGGCGACTTCGTCCCTGCACCCTGAGACAACGGGAGCCGCGTGCAGAGCGGGTCCTTTGCGACGCAGCCTTTGCTCTCTGTGCCACGCGCCTTCGCGATTCTGGTGCTGAAGCTGCGCCGCATCGGCTGCCGATTCCGAGAAAAGCACCGCCCACCAAACCACCCCATCCCAGGCCGAAGGCTCCGATTTGCCTTCCATTTCCAGTGGGATGGGTCGGGGAGCATGGAAGAACACGTACGAAACCCGTACCCCCCCAACCCGAAACTCGGGTTTTCGGGTTGGGTTGGGTGGTCTGTTAGGTAGTCGAAAAAAAGGTCTCGATGGTCTGGAGGCTCGTCTGTTTCGTGGGGACGGCCCGTGGCTTCCTCCGCGTACTCAAGGGAGCGCATTGTTGGTCATCCTCTTCTGGAGAGCATCCTCGTGGAACCCATTACGTTGGCTTGGCAACTTGCCCAATGTGCGGATTTGCTGCATCGCCGCCTCGGCACATGCTTGCACCGCCACGCCCAATAAGGAAGTCTCAGGAAATACTGGTTCGGTGGGTGTACATTGTTAAGGGAATCTGCAACAAAACGGTTTTTGTGGTCATAGATCGTGAGGCTGTCTCAGGCGAAGCGGTTTCTGCGGTCGTCACTTATGAGCTGCTTTTGGCGAAACGGCGATCCCGTGACGACTTGCAAAGTCTCTTCGGGCTCCCCGTCCCCTCTGTTGGGACTTTTCTGTGTTTCCTTGCTTTTGTTAGAACCCTATTCCATTCGATTTCAGGGAATACATGAACAAGCCGAAGGCACATCCATTTTTTTGCCTTTTCGGGACCTGCTGAAGGTTCTTTTGGAACCCTTTTGGGCCGTCTGGAGAGCCTCCTCGGCAGTCCCGAGGCCATCTTGGGCCGCCTCGGGGCCATCCTAGGCTTGAGTCAGCCATGTCCCTTTACAGGGGGAATCTTCAAAACTAGTAAAGAAATAGTCTGGGGACGATGTTTTAACTATTCTGGAGATGCTTGGGCATGTCTGGGCTATTTTTCACTGTCTCCTCCGAAATCCGCCTGTCGTAAGACATGCCCGATTTACTTTTGTTCGGTTAAAATTCGATTCCTCGAAATTTCAACATTCGTTAGAGCTCTAGTTTTTTTCTCGTTAATTCTGGGCCATCTTTGCGGCCTTTAGCCTGCCTGGCCCGTTTTGGGAGCCATCTTGAGCCCCGTGGACGCCTTGAAGACCGCCATGGGAGGCGTCGGGCAGCCCCGAGGAGCCTGGGGGGAGGGGGGAGCGGTGCGAGCGGGGGCATGCGACCGGGAGGGGGTGGAGTGTCGAGCGGGGGGTCAGCCCCAGACCTCCTCGCGCTGCGCACCAACATCACGGCGGGAGTTATCGGCCTCCAGGGGTCCTTCCTGGGCCTCACCGTCAGAAAACGAGTCAGGATGAAAAACCAGTCCTGGGGAGAGGGTCCAGACCTTCTGGGGGTCGACGTAGTGAAAAAATCACGACGTCGGGGGTCTGGGGCGATAGGTGGGTTCGGGATGCCAGACCAGGGGAGGCTACAATTGACTTGAATGTGCAGTCGCGCGGCACCACGCATCCCTCTCCCAAGGATTGGCATTGCCTCGTCTCAGTGCCAATCGTACGGATTTTCCCCTCACTTTCGGGCACATCCTTAATCTTGCCATCTAGTGGGGCCCGTCAGTCTCAGGGGTCGAGATGGGTTCGAGGCGTTATGGTAGGATGCAGCTCTTGGGATGTTAATTTTTGCATCGGTGCTGGCACATCCGCGGTATTGATCCAGCCTGTTCTGGCATGCTCCCGCTGAATTCCGCTCAGTCCCGCTCAGCCTGGCTGGATCCCGGGCCGATCTGGGCCATTCTGGGCTCCTCTGGGCTGATCGGGCTGATCTGGGCCAGTCTGGCCAACCTGGCTGATCTGGGCCAAGCGGGCGAGTCGTCTAGCTTGATCTCGCCCCTTCGGCCCCTCTTTAGCGACTTTCGCTGGCCAACCTCGATCGAAGAACGTTCACAGCCTCCAAGGCCCTTGCATCCTCACCGCGCATCCTCGTGATGCGGGTTGACTGTGTGGACATCGAGTTGGGGCTCGTCAGAGCCTCGGGGCTCGAGACGAACTCGAGGCTGGCTGATCATGGGCAGCAGAGCCGCCGACGTGCCCTCGTGCCACTGGCCACGAGCCTCGCATGCGCCCGTCTTGGGAAGCAACACGTGCCGTGCTTGAAGCGTTGCGCTGCGTGCTGGCTCAGTGCACTGGCCTACGTCGTGGCGGACGTATCGCGCCATACCTACGTTTTCGGTGCACGTGTTGGGATCCGTGTCAGCACGCTGCGTGTTGCATGTTGCGTATCGGGGCAGCGAAGGATCTGGGATCGGTGGGCGCTCCGGCGCGTGGGCGAGCGGCATTGGGCAGTGTCCCTTCTCGCCGGAAAAGCTTACTACACGCCGTTCGTTTGAAGTGGGTATCTTTGGATCTCCAGATCCCAATCTCTTCTTGGCGCCTTCCTACCTCAGGAGTCGAGCGGTTCTCCTTCATCCCGCCTCGTCGGGGGGCGGGCGGAAGCCAAGTCTGCTTCCAGCCTTCCTGCTTCGTGCTTGTACCCGCCTCTTCCGACCGACGGGTCCTCCCTTCTCAGCTGCTGCACACCGTGCTTTTTTGTGCTCAGGGGTCTTCCCCTGCCCTACCTTTAAGTCGGGCCTGTCCCCCTACAGGGGGATTTTCGACGAAAAATAAAGAATACCCCAAAAATAATCAAAACAGTCTAAACATAGTCCGGGGATTATTTTTTGAGTATTTTTGAACTTTTTTGGGGTATTTTGGGGGTATGTTTTATTTTTCGTCCTAAATCCCCCCATAGGGGGACACGCCCGACATAACCCTACCTGGGGTACCGCGCCTGTTTTTTTGGCTCTCCTCTCCCCCCCGCCCTGCTCTCCTCCTTGCATGGCCGATCCGCTGCCTGCGGGGCGCTGGGACGATCTCTCGATCGTGGTGCTCCGTGCGCACGCGTGCGTTATAACAGCCACTCTGTCGGCACCCGAGGCGACGAAAGAGCACGACCGACTGCCTCCTCCTCCTTTTCTTCCTCCTCCTCCTCCTCCTCCTCCTCCTCCTCCCATCTCCTCCCCTCTCCTCCTCCTCCTCCTCCTCCTCCTTCTCCCCCTCCTCCTCGTCCTGCTCCTCCGCCATCCTTCTTCCTTTCCGTCACTCCTCGCCGCACCGCTAGGCGTGTCGGTAGGGTGGGCTGGGCGTTCCGTTCTGAGCGCGCCCCTCACGATGTGTGATCTTGAAGCTTGACATATGGAAGGCGGACGCTTCTTAACATGTGTTTTACGCACGAGCGCCGCGTTCATTCGTCCTATAAGAATGCAGCAGGTACACGGCAGCAGGTCAGGCGGCTTTCAAAATGTGGGTGTCGACTTGGCGTCGCGCGGACGTGCCGTAAAGGCGTGGAATCAATATACGGATGGATGGCGGTTGCTCTACAGAGTGGCGCTCTCGCTTCAGGTTTTCTCGACATTCGCGCCCCGAAACGAAAACAGGGTAGAGCATCTACATGGATGGAGAGCGATTCGTATTGGAGTCTCTGGTGTTTGCAAGGGTGGAGGGCGGATCCAGTTCGACGGTGGAATCCCGCCTCTCCGCAGTCGTCTTGGCTCAGGCGGTTTTGGTCCAGGGAGCTCTGGCCCAGGCAGTCTCGACCTTACCTGATACCTTTCCATCTCCGCCCGCGCGAGCACCCGTGGCCGCAGCCTCTTGCATCTGAGAAGCGATGGTTGCGATCATGCGCCCCCTGCTGGCGGCCTCGTGGGTCACCAGTGCATCCCGAGGGAAGCAGCACGGTGACCAGGACCCAGATGTCGCGGGATCCCGTCGACACTGATCGCAGAGATCCAACGTACTGAAAACAATCAAGACGGAGTTTCTTCGTATTTTTCGGTCTCCGGGGGCCCTCGCCGGGCCCCGGGACCGTCGAAAAACGACTCAGGATGAAAAACCGGTCCTGGGGAATGGGCCGAGATCTCTATAGGGGCCCCGCGTTGAAACAATCACGGCATCGGATCTCTGGGATCGCCGCCTCGCGAGGGTGATCCGCGAGGCGACGCTGACCACGAGGGACGATGGCCCCAAGATCGGCACCGGCGCTCCCGGACCCCTGACGCCGTGGTTTTTTTCACAAAGCGTGAGGCCCCCCCCAGGGGTCTCGGGCTCTTCCCCGGCACAAGTGCTTCCTCCCGAGTCGTTCTTCAAGGGCGCCCTCGAGGGCGCGAAGCTATTCGCGCTTCGCGCTTCGCGCTTCGCGCTTCGGCTCCGATTTCTCCTCCTCCGCCTCCTCTTCCCCCCTGGGAGGCGGCGCAAGGGCGCGAAGTTATTCGCACTTCGCGCTTCGCGCAGCGCGAAGCGCGAAGTTGGGAGCCCTTGTTCTTTCGGGGGTGCTGGAGAGCCGGGGTGGGGACCCCCCGGCGGCCGAGAGTGGCAGGCAGCTCCGCGCCGCGACCAGTCTCCGCGCTCTCTTACGGGGCGTGAAAAGGACCACAGCCGCTGCTTTTCTTTTGGTGCCGCCTTCCAGCCCGCAGACACAGAGCAGTGGTTGTGGTCATTTTAGTTGAGCTTGGCACCCGGGAGATGACCACAGCCACTGCTTCTCTTTCGGCCAGCTGGAAGGCGGCGCAAACAAGAAGCAGTGGCTGTGGTCATTTTCCCGTCCCGCATCTCTGTCCTTGTTCTTGTTCTTGTGGGGTGCCGGAGAGCCAGGGTGGGGGGCCCCCAGCGGCCGAGAGTGGCAGGCAGCTCCTCGCTGCGACTGGTCTCCGCGCTCTCTGTCCCGGTTCCTCCTCCTCCTCCTCCTCCTCCTCCTCCTCCTCCTCCTCCTCCTCCTCCTCCTCTTACTCCTCCTCCTCTTCCCTCCTCCTCCTCCTTCCCCCCTCCTTCCGGCGCTCTCTCCGCGACTGGTCACGGCCGCCGTTCTCCTTCCCTCCAGCGTCTGCCCTGTCCGCGGCCGGCAGGGCAGGCAGCACGGCCGAGACGCTGCAGGGCAGCGGCGCAGGCCTCGGCCAGCGGGCGGCACCACCCCCATCCCCGGGCGCGTCCCCAGGGCTCGCGGAGTGCCCGCTCGCTGGGCTTCCGAGAAACACACACGTGCGTCTGCTTCGATGCCATCTGTCGCAGAGCCCCTGCGGCGGATCCGGGCCACCCGCGAGCAGTTGCTCTGCGAGTCGTGGGGCGCGCTCGCCGAGCCCGAACGTGCTCACGTGTGCCGTGCGCGCGTCGACCCTCCCCGCCCCCCCCCCCCCGCGGGCGACGCGCGCGCTCGCACATCTCATACAGCGTACGCCTGGTGGCAGGCGCTGTCTGGCCAGGCCGGGCCGCCTCGGTACGAAAGGCACACGCACGCGCACACTGTCTGTGAGGTGCTTCCGTGAGGTCGGGCCCGTCCCTCTACAGTGGGATTTCCGACGAAAAACGAAACATACCCCAAAACTGCTCCCCAAAGGTAAAAAGATACCCCCAAAATAGTCCCCAGACAATTTTTGGATTATTTGTGGATTATTTTTGGGGTATTTTTTATTTTCGTCGAAAATCCCCCTGTAGGGGGACAGGCCCGACGTACTGCTTCCCGTCTGCTGCGCTCTGCTTGGGCTTGTGCCGTATGGTCGGTTCGGACGTGCGCCTCCACTGGCGGCGCAGAGTGTTCGAAGCAGTACAACAAAAACAGGAACATCAGCGTTTGGCGCTCCGCGCGGAGGCCCCCGTGCGGCGCCTCCCCTGGCGCGCTCCGCGCGCCGGGGAGGGGGGTCCGGCGCGGATGCGAGAAGTCCGCGCGGACCTCCAAGAGTGTATGTTTGCGTGGCTTTCTGTGACGAGCGAACAACACACACCCATACCCATAGGGAGGTCGTTGGGAGGAGGACTGGCTATGGGTATGGGTGCGGGTTGTCGGACCCTGGGAAACGATCCCGTTCGACCGGGGACCCCCATCCGACAACACGCACCCATAGCCCTCTCCGATCCCCCTATGGGTATGGGTGTGTGTGTGTGTGTGTGTTGTTGGTTCGTCATTCTGTTCCTCTATAAGTGTGCCAGTGTGCCCTTCTGCGTCCCAGGATCGGCTCCGGGCTCTGGGCGTTTTCCTCCGGAGCTGTCGCAGGCCTTCGGGGCCCCGGGGCGGTTCTCATCAGCTCTGCGCCGCGCCGACGAGCGTTCCCCGGGGACGCCAGAGTGTCGTCCCGAGCCTCCGCCTGCGGATCTGGGGGATGGGGGGCTCCAGAGCGGTGAGGTCACCACACCGCCGGAGGCCTAGAGGTTGACACCAGCACCAACATCGGCGGTGTGCCTCCACCGAGGACAGAGGATCCCGTTTTCGGTGACGGTGGTAGTGTTCGTGCTGCCCAGGTGGCGGAACTTTTCGCACCAGCACCAACATCTAGGATCATCTTCCCCTGGTGGAGGCAGCCCCCGCCTCCAACACCGTGCGATGAGTCCGTGGGGCTTCGGGATGGCCGCAGGGCCATGTGACTTTCGGGTCGTCCTCAGGCGGCCGGGGCCCTGTGCTTCGGGGTCCCCAGGCCGCTCGGCGACGGACCTCGAAGAAGCAAAGACGCCGTGGACATAAACGTTCGGCGCTTCGCGCGGATTTCTTGGATCCGCGCTGGGCCCCCCTGGCGGTGCCTCCGTCGCCGCGCGCTCCGCGCGCCAGGGAGGGGGCTCCAGCGCGGCGGATCCAAGAAATGTCCGCGCGGAGTTTATGCTCTTGTGGCGCTTCTTCGAAGTCTACGCTTGTGGCATGTTTTTTTTCTTCGTCTTCTTCGTCTTCTTCTTCTTCTTCTTCTTCTTCTTCTTCTTCTTCTTCCAGGGTCATGTGGTGAGGTCTTTGGGGGGTCCGAGGTCGCCCGACGGTCTCTCACCGCAGCGCCTCTCGGGGCCCCCTCCAGGCGTGGGCGGCGGCAGGGCCAGCACGCGCCAGACGCCCGAGGAGCTCGGCATGGGGGAGGGGGTGGACTTCGCGCCGGCGACCCCCTTCTCGGAGTCCTACTGCCTGGACCTCGGGGCGAAGGGGTTCCCGATCTCGAGGAGGAAACAGCTGCACGGCGCCCGTAGGGGACCACACGCGCCTCCTCCTCCTCCTCCTCCTCCTCCTCCTCCTTCTCCTCCTCCTCCTCCTCCTCCTCCTCCTCCTCCTCCTCCTCCTCCTCCTCCTCCTCCTCCTCCTCCTCCTCCTCCTCCTCCTCCTCCTCCTCCTCCTCCTCCTCCTCCTCCTCCTCCTCCTCCTCCTCCTCCTCCTCCCCCTCCCCCCTCAGGCATCGTGGGGGGGGGGGGTGTATGGGGTGGCGGGCCTCGCACGTGGCCCCCTCGCACAGGGCCCCCGCAGCTCCGTGCGGGCGCGTGCCCTGGGTCGGCGCGGGGCCTCCCGGGGTCGGCGCCCGCGGCGCTGCCCTCTGCTCTGCGCGCAGCGGGGGGGGGGCGCAGTGCCGGTGCAGGGAGGCCCTTTGTGCGGAGCTCCGAGGGCCTACGTGTGTGTGTGTCGGGCCGGGCGGAAGGGGGGGATTGGGAAGGGGGGGGGTTACGATGTTTGCCGCATGCAGCTGGTTTCGGCCTCACCGAGGGGCCCATTCCTCGATACATAGCCGCCTCCGGCGCCGGGAGGCGCCAGGAAAATCAGCTACGTGAGCTGATTCTCACCCCCCCCCTTTGCTATCCCCCCCTTTGCTATCCCCCCCTTTCGCCCGACCCGTGTGTCAGAGGTGGATCGACCTCCTACCCTGACGCGTCGATTAGCGAATTGGCCGTTTTCGGTTCTCGAGAGGGCGTCGCGGCCGTCCTTTCTGCGGGTCCAGGTCCGTCAGTTTCGGTCCTGGGCCGTTCTCGCTGAAGGGAGGTTTGTCCACCGCCGAGTGTGCAGTTTTTTGTTCCTCGGCGATCCCGGTGTTCAAGATGTTGCAGGCCGTCGGGGCTCAAGAGACAGGGGGTCAGTGCAGTCGGGGGTCAGTCAGAGCGCCAGATCTTTCAAGATCCTGCCGGGCCACGGTCGCATTGACCCGGGCTTGGGTGCGGGATCCTGCAGGATCCTGCAGGATTTGGCAGGATCCTGCAAAGCCTGACTGACCCGGGTCTGGATTGACCCGGGTCAGTAGATTTCCTGAGGCCCACAAGTGGGACGTGCGCGCGTATTTCGAGGAGCTCGAGGTGCGGGGGTACGCCGACGACGCCTTGCAGGTGACCGCCCCCCAGGAGGCCATGCTCGGGTCGAACTGCATGCAAGAGCGCCGCCAAAGCAGGACGAAGCACATCTTCGTCGGCGACTCCCAGATGATGGCGCTCCGCAACGCACTCCACCGCCTCAACGGCTGTCCTGAGATCTGGTGGCACAACAACACGAGGGACCACCAGGAAGTGCTTGCGTCGATCAAGGCTGGCATGCGCGTCAAAACCAGCAGTGGACGCTTCCACTCGCGCACCGACCAGTCACCAGATGGCGCCTTGCCCGCAGGGTGCAAGGAGGATGGCATCGCGTCTTTCATCTTCTGGGATGCCTGGCTCGATAGGGAGATCCCTCTTCAAGAGATTCAGAAGGAGATTGCTCTGCTCGGAGTCGAGCCAACCAAGGGTGACACTGTAGTCGTGTGGGTCGGCTCGAATTCAATCTCAGGACCTGGCAGAACAAGTGTTCTGCTCAACACAATTGACAAGCTCCATGCCTTGGGAGTGAAAATGGTGTGGGACTCGCCAACCTACATTGACGAGGCCATAATGGCCGCGACAACGGCCAAGGACTTGGGTACCGACTCGCGTACTGGCATCCCCATCACCTACACCGCAATCGCTCAGAGGAAGGCCCGCGGTGAAATCGGCTCAAATCAATATTCAAGTGGCTTGTGCCATTCCGCCGACGACCAGAAGGTGTCAGAGCTTGCGACGATCGTGGGAGTCCACCACCGTGCCTGGGCTGTGGGTCGGGAGCTTCTTGGATTGACATGAAGGTCTCTAGGCATGCCTCTAAGGGGCCTCTTGGAGCGGATGCTTTTTTGTGCCTCTTGGGGGCCTTTCGGGGGCTCCTTGAGGTCGTCTTGGAGGCCTCATGGGCCTCTTGGGGGTGCCTCAGGGACCTTTGGGGGGCTCTTGGGGCCATCTTGGGGGCAAAAGCTGGGGCCCTCTTGGGTTCTCTTGAGCCGTCTTGGGGGCCCCTGGGACCGTGTCAGGGCTCTCTTTGGCCGTCTCGGGGCCCTCTTGGGGGCCTTGTCGGCTTTTTTACAACGATCTTTGGGGCCCTTCGGCCGTCTTGACTGCTGTCAAGACGGAAACAGTGAGTATGCTAAATATGTACGTTTTCCAAAGGGAGCGGGACGATGCTTGTAGTGACCCCCCTCGCCCCCCCTAGAATCGGATGTTGGACCCCAGCGGAGGGGGAAAGGGGGCGGGGGTCAACCAATCATCCCACACGCCTTGTCACCCCCGGCAAGCGGGGGTCGGCGGACAAGAGTGAGAAGGCGTTCTCAGCAGGGATTGTCGAGATTCCGATGACGAAGCGCTGGCAGCTGACGAACCGGTACCGGGGGCTCCAGTGCGACGGCATCCACAGTGACATGCGCGCGAGGGACCCGATGTACTACGACCTTCCCTGCCCGAAGGGCCCAGAGACCTACGGCAGGTCCTCGCACTGCAACTGGGTGGAGCCCTTCGACAGCCAGGTGCGGGAGAAGTGCCCCCAAGCCGTCGGCCTGGACGACCTGGTGCTCCAGAGCGGCCTCTTCGCCATGTGTGCGGCCCACGAGAGCCCGTTCTGCTACGCGTACACCGAGAACATCCGCTGATGCGCTCCGTCGGGCGTCTTGCGCCTTGCTTTTTGGCCGGGCCTCCTAGATGGGGTCCGGGTAGATGTGGGGTCGGAGGACCGCGCCGCATCGCCAGTGTATCGGCGAGGCGGCTCGACGTGGATCCCGGTGTTCGATTTTCTTCACGCTGGCGTCGTCGATGCGCCGCCGACGTCGCCGATGTATCGCCACGGCATCGCCGATGCATCGGCGATGCAGCGGCGATGCGGCGCGATCCTCCGACCCCATCTACAGCCGACCCGCATGGTAAGGATGGGCAACCTTTCCAAGGGTACCCTTGCATCCTTGCCTCCTCGGCCCAGTCCTTGGCCACTTTCGCCGGCCGCGCCCCCCGCCCGAGCAGCTTCGAGATATGGGCGTCCGAGGCCCTTGCATCCTCATCGCGCATCCTCACGTCGGGGAAACGTAAGTCTCGAGTAAGCCGGAACTCGGGTCTGCCGACGTTTTTTGACGAGCGCGTTCTGGATTTTGATCGTCCAGTCTTCGTGGGATGTCCGCAGCGGGAGCCCGCGTCAGATTTCAGACTGGGCCTCGTCATTTTTCAGGAGGGGAAAAACACAGACACAATTAATCGTCGATCCCTAGGAAAGTATGTAAACAGATGGGAATGGGGCGGGAAGACAAGAACCCAGAACATATCAGAAAATGTGGGGGATCTTTTTCTTTGTGTGTACTTCTTTGTGTGTCCCCGGGCCCCTTCAGTTTTGCATGATGGCACCGTCGGGCCAGCTCGAGCCCCCCGAGCCCGAGCCTCACGCCTCCCCGACTCCGATGCGGGCCGGCCGTGCTCGGGCCCCGTCCGGGAGGCCCTCCGCTTCGGGCCCCGAGGGCGCGCGGCCGGCAATTCGGTGCTTGGCCGCCGGCGGCGTCGCCCGGGGGGCCTCCCTCCGCGGCCCCCTGCCAGAGATTGGGCAGGCCCGCGGGGGCGCTCCCCGCCGTGAAAAGAGGGCCAGGCACACAGACAGGCACACACGGGCAGGCAGACAGACAGACCTGTACCTGCCTGCCTGCCTGCCTACACACACGCGCACACACAGGCACACAAGCGCACACACCCACACACACCCGCGCCCAGCCTCACACCCACACATCCACACACAAACACACACAGACACGCACACGCACGCAAGCACACACATTCACACACAAATGCACACACACGCACACACAACACACACACAACACACAAACACACACGCACACAACACACACGCACTCACGCACGCACACACACACGCACACACAACGCACAACACACACAACACACGCACACACAACACACAACACACAACACACACCACACAACACACAAACACAACACACAAACACAACACGCAACACACACAACACAACACACAACACAACACACACACACGCACATGCACACCACACACACCCACGCACGCGCACACACACCCACACATACACGCACAGACAACACACACTCACAACACACGCAACGCACAACACACAGGCACGCACGCAAGCACGCACACACGCACGCACGCACGCGCACGCACGCACACGCACGCACGTACGCACGCACGCGCACGTTCGCACGCACAATCACGCAGGCACACGTACGCACGCACGCACGTACACACACACACACGCACGCTCACGCACAACGCACAACACACAACATACAACACACAACACACAACACACAACACACAACGCACAACACACAACCCACAACACACAACACACGCACGCACGCACGCACGCACACACACACACACACGCACGCAAACACGCACGCACGCACACACACACACGCACGCACATAAACACAACCACACACAACACGCAACACACAGCACATAACACACAGCACACAACACTCAACACACAACACACAACGCACACACACACCATACAACACAACACACACAACACACAACACACAGCACAACACACAATTCACACAACACATAACACGCAACACACAACACACACAACACACACCACATAGCACACCACACACATCACACAGCACACAGCACACAACACACGCACACACAACACACAACACACAATACATGACACAACAAACAACACACAACCCACAACACAACACACACACAGCACGCAACACGCACTTACAGCGCACAACGCACACCACACAACACACAACACACAATACACAACACACAACACACACCACACAACGCATAACCCACACCACACAACACACAACGCAGAACACACAATGCACAGCACACAACATTCAACAAACAACACACAGCTCACCACACAGCATACAGCACACAGCACACAACACACACCTCACAGCACACAACACACAACACACACCACACAGCACCAATCAACACACAACACACACAACACACAACTGACAACACACAATAGACAACACGCAACGCACAACACACAACACACAACACACAACACACAACATAACACACAACACACAACGCACGACACACACACAACACACATCACACAACACACAACACACAACACACAACGCACAACCCACAACCCTCAACACACAACAAACAACACAAAACACAACACACAACACACCACACAACACAACACGCACACACACACACACTCACACACACATTCGTCAGCGGGCGTGTGCTGTGATGTGCTGTGCTGTTGTATGCTGTGATGTGCTTTGGTGTGCTGTGATGTGCTGCGTTGTGCTGTGCTGGCCACGCGCACACGCGCATTTTTGCGGTGCCCGCGCTGCGATGTGTCGTGTCGCGCCGTTCACATAGCCGTTTCCATCCTGGATCGCTGTTGTGTCTTCTCTGGGTAATTTAATGGCATGTGGCTTCACGGCTCTCTCTGCCCTGGCGCTGCCCCGAGCCATTGTGGTGTGGTCTGAGGCTCTTGTGGGATGGCGATGGTGTTGTGTCGGGTCTCCTGGGCCTTCGGTGCCGTCTGTTATGTTGCCTGGATGCGGTCGCCCGCTGCTAGTGCCGGGGTGGATGCCCGTGTCTGGCTTCTCTTTCCGTCTCCCCGTCGGCTGATTCATGGTCTACGGATGGTGGGCTTGCTGTGCGCAGGCTGCTCGCCAGGATCAACGTGGACTCGGCACGTGCTGGGTGGACGCGTGGCTGCTTCTGCTGGTTGCCCGCTGCGCCGCAGGCGGCTTCGCTCGCCGGGCACGTCGCGTTCCCGCCCGCCGTGCCGGCGGAGCGGGCTTCGGCCGCTGAGACCGTTGTGAGCGCCCCCTGTCCTCCATCGCTCCTCCCTCCTCCTTCTCCCGTCCTCCTCCTCCTGCTGCTCCCCCTCCTCCCTCTCCTTCCTGCCCTCCCGCACTCCCGTGCCCACCCCGCATGTTGGCTCAACGGTGCGCGCGCTCTCGCCCACCCGTGCGCCCAAGTGCTCGTGCGAGCCCTTGTATGGTGCCACGCGGAGGGGTGGTGCCCCATCACAACACCCAGAACCGGCTGGCACACCTTCCACGTCACAGCGGGCAGCACACTGCGGCAGCAAGCACGCACGCCTCCTTGGCCGTGCCGTGGAAGCTGGTTCGGGCTTGTGTGTTGCGACGCATGGTGGCTGTGGCTGGGTGTGTCCAGTTCTGGAAGGGGGCCGGTCCTGGTGGTTGGGAGTTCTAGAGGGCTGCGGGTCGGTACGGGGCTGTGTGGTTGGTCGGCATGGTTGGGTGGCCATGCAGTGGGCCGTGCCCCACCCGCGCACCTCCCCTTCAGCCACCGTCACCGGCATGTATCGCTCGGGCGGCGGCCTGGCGTGAGCCTGGTTCGAGGATGTGACGGTCCCGCTCGCGGCGGGCAACCAACGACGGAACGAACGCGCACACACACACACACGCGCACGCACGCGCACACACACACACGTGCACGCGCGCTCGCACACACGCACACACACACACACCCACACGCAAGCGCACACGCACGCGCACATGAAAGCGCACACGCACACGCACTTTCACACGCACACGCACACGCACACTCACATGCATACGCGCACGCACACACACACACACACGCACGCGCACACGCATACGCACATGCACACGTACACGCACACGCATTCTCACACAGGCAAGCGCACACGCACACGCAAACGCACACGCACACGCACACGCACGCGTGTGACGCACACGGACACGCACACGCACGCACACACGCAAGCGCACACGCACACGCGAACGCACACGCAATCGCACACGCACACGCACACGTACACGCGCTCGCACACGCACGAACGAACGAATCAACGCGCACGCAAGCGCATACTCACACACACATGCAAGCGCACACTCACGGACGAACGGACGAACGAACGACACGCACACGCACCCACACACGCAAGCGCACACGCACACGCACACGCACACGCACATGGACACGCACACGCACACGCACACGCACGCGCACACGCACACGCACACAAGCACGAGCACGCACACGCACACGCACACTCACACGCACAAGCACACTGACACGCAAGCGCACACGCACACGCACACGCACACGCATACGCACGCGCACACGGAGACGCACACGCACACTCACACACGAAAGCGCACACGCACCCGCACACTCACACGCACACGGACACGCACACGCACAAGCACAAGCACGCGCACACGCACACGCACGCACACGCACACGCACACTCACACGCATACGCGCACGCACACGCACACGCACACGCACACGCACACGCATACGCACACGCACACAGACACGCACACGCATTCTCACACAGGCAAGCGCACACGCACACGCACACGCACACGCACACGCACACGCACACGCACACGCATACGCACACGCACACAGACACGCACACGCATTCTCACACAGGCAAGCGCACACGCACACGCACACGCACACGCACACGGACGCGCACACGCACACACGCACACGCACACGCGCATACGCACACGCACACGCACACGAACACGCACATGCACACGCGCTCGCACACGCACACGCACGCGCACACGCACGCGCACGCGCACACGCGCACGCACACGCAATCGCACACGCACACGCACACGTACACGCGCCCGCGCACGCGCCCGTGCACGCGCACGCGCACCCGCGCGCACACGCACGCACGCGCACGCACGTACGCACGCACACACGCAGAGCTTGAAGCGGCGGCGCAGTGGGTTTTCATCGCGGGCAGCTCATGGAAATGCTAATTTCGACACACACAGGATACAACATAGAAGACACAACCCACAACACACAACGCACAACACACAGCACACAACACACAACGCACAGCACACAGCACACACCACACAACACGCGACACACACAACACACATCACACAACACACAACACACTACACAACACACAACATACAACACACAACACACACCACACAACACACAGTACACAGCACACACAGCACACACACACACACACTACGCCACACACCACATATCACACTCATAACACAACACGCAGCACACAACACACAACACTTCACACAACAAACAACACACGACACATACCACACAACACACAACACGCAGCACACAGTACACAACATACAACATGTCACCCACGACACACACTATACAATACAATACACAACGTGCAACACACGCCACACAGCACACACCGCACAACACACACCACACAACACACAACACACACCACACACCAGACAACATACATCACAACACACACCACACACCACACAGCACACAACACACAACACACCACACACAACACACCACACACCACACAACACACACCACACCACCCAGCACACAACACACAACACACACACACCACGCAGCACACATCACACAACGCACAACACACACCACACAACACACAACACACAACACACAACACATAACACACAACAGACAACACACATCACACCACACAACACACAACACAGCACGCAACACACAATACACAACACACAACACACAACACGCAACACACCCCACACCACACAGCACACAACACACAACACACACC